TTTTGAGATGGACTTTCGCTCTTGTTGCCCAGGCTGGAGGGCAGTGACGTGATCTGGGATCACTGCAACCTCCATTCCTGGGTTCAAGTGATTCTCCTGCGTCAGCCTCCTGAGTAGCCGAGATTACACCCACCACCACAACTGGGTAATTTTTTATATTTTTAGTAGAGATGGAGTTTTGCCATCTTGACCAGCTGGCCAGGCTGGTCTCGAACTCCTGACCTCAGGTGATCCACCCACCTCAACCTCCCAAAGTGCTGGGATTACAAGCGTGAGGCACCACACCCAGCCCAGCATGCATTCCCTTTCTGTTACGGTGTTTTAAACGTGTGTGTAAAGGCTGCATAGAAGATGTATATCAAACTCTTAACAGTGGTCACATCTAGACGTAGGGAAAAAAACTGGGGTCTGGGGAGGATGAGGAGGAGCTAAAGTAAGGTAAACCTTGTTGCTATGTACTCATTTATTTTACTTGCTAATGATAAGCATGTAGTAAATTTGCAATAAAAATATAATAAAATCATGATCTTGAAGAAGAGAAACAGAGATAGAGTGCTGGGGAGTTTCCTCAGGTGTCTTCCCATCTCACTATTGTGTTTAGTCTAAACGGGTGTGGGGGAAGAAGCCTAGGGGTGGTCACTGCTGCCCAGGCAGTCCCTGGAGGCACACTCAGGGACTGATCGTCAGGACACACTGAGCGGCTGCAGAGGAGGTCATTTCTGCATACGGGGGCCCTCCTGCACTATCACCTTGAAAATTATAAATTCCACCACTCACTGTGCAGAAAGGAAGTCTGCTTTTGCCTTCTTTGACTTAGGGACTCAAAAGTTATTGTGGGCCGGGTGTGGTGCCTCACGCCTGTAATCCCAGCACTTTGGGAGGCCACGGTGGGCGAATCATGAGATCAGGAGTCCAGGACCAACCTGGCCAATATGGTGAAACACTGTCTCTGGTAAAAATATAAAAAATTATCTGGGAATGGTGGCAGGCACCTGTAATTCCAGCTACTCGGGAGGCTGAGGCAGGAGAATCGCTTGAACCTGGGAGGCAGAGGTTTTAGTGAGCTGCGATCGCGCCACTGCACTCCAGCCCAAGCAATAGTGCAAGACCCCATCTCAAAGAAAAAAAAAAGCTATTGTGACTCAGCTGAAACAGAAGACAAGAAAGTGGATCTGGACAAACCCCCACTCAACGAATCCAGCAAAAGAGTCCATGAGTCTTCCAACAGACCCCAAACTGTTTCCTAGTAGGTCCTTTTTCACTTTGCAGAGGTAAGCAATGGGGTCTCCTGGCAGCAATGACTTATAACTAGCAATTATCCCATACGTCGCCATAAAAATGTCTTTCTGATAAGCATTAATCATTCTTAAATTAGCTAGATATAAACAAAGGCTACTAGCAACCAAAGGAAAGCATACTCCTGGGGGTGAGAGGGATACGATAGTAGTCAAACTCCCTTTCTAGCAAATGGTTAGCAACCTCTGATTTCCTAGACACTTTATGAGATCCCTGAGCACCTGCAATCCCAGCTACTCGGGAGGCTGAGGCAGAGAATTGTTTGAACCCGGAAGGCAGAGGTTACAGTGAGCCGAGATCACCACTGAACTCTGGCTTGGGTGGCAGAGCAAGACTCTGTCTCAAAAAAAAAAAAAAAAAAAAAATCCCAACACTCGGATCAGCCCATTTAATAGCAGAAACAGAAGCAAGAGGACATTGGTGGGTGCCGGTTCCATTTCTGATTCTTTTCTGAGTGACCTGTGACTTCCCTCTCCTGGTGCCACCTGGAGAGCCCCCTCCCCCGCAACTGACATAGACAAGAAGACAGTAGCTTGGTGCTGTCCCAACAAGCTCTCTACTTACATCACGAGAGGAGGAGGAGGAGGACGACAATGGCCTTCATTCCTGAGGAGACCAGGCGGTCTGAGGTGCTGCAGCCACACCTTCACCTGTGTGTGAGGGGTCTCCCAGTTGAGCCTCTGTTCCGGGGCAAAATGACCAAAATGAGGCAGGGGTATTTGAGTGCAAAACCCTAACTGCAGTGCCTTGGAAAGCCCTCGGCAGAGAGCTCAAAGGGATCATTTTCAAATCTCATTTCTTTTGAATATGGTACCCTTTCTGGCATTTAGACCTGAACATATAAAAATAAGAAGGGTTCCATGGTTTTAAAAGTGCAAATATTGTTTTTTTTTTTTTTTCAAATCTCTTTCTTTGGCAACACCATCCCATCATCTCTTCTTTTTTTCTTTCTTTTGAGGAGTCCGTATTCCTCTGCTCCCGAGTTGGAAAGGCGTCGATGCGGTTCGTAATAGAACTCCTGCACAGGAATGCCTAGCTTGGTTTGCATCTAGACCCACAGTGCTTTTCTTCTGTGATATCCAGGCTTCTTATTCAACAACTTGGTTTCTTCTGTAGAGTGAGACTATAAATTCCTATCAATAATTTCAAGACTTTATTAAGAAATTTTAAGGGCTTCACAGGTATTACATGGTTTCATCCTTACAACTCCTTCAGAGGTTCTATTATCATTTTGAAGATGGGTAAACTGAGACCCAGAGAGGCTGAACAAATTTTCACGATCACATAGCTGTCTACATAGCAGACCCATTGTGGGACCTGCTGGAATAATGAAAGTAAAACTGTTTTGTACTATAAAATGCAGTCACAAATAAACACAGAATTCATATTCCAATTAGTATTGGTCATGATACCCACCTTAGAACAGCAGAGGAGAATGCGGGTTGCAGCCCTGCCATGGAGCTGCCAGGGATCAGTCAACGGCTTTCTTTACATACAAGTGGTCTTTAGAGGTCCCATCATAAATCAGGCTAAATTTGGTAACGTCAGGACTTGGAGTGTGATACAATTGCTTGGTTGAACCTAGAGAATTTGGCAGGTGCAGAGCTTGGGCTAAATTTACACCTAGTGGTAAAGCGTCCCAGGAAAATTTCAAAATGACCACCCCGCTGCATCCCTGGGAGAGTTAATCAGGGTGTCTTTGCTGTCTTCCAGCTTTGGCAAAATTCTGGTAGATGCTGTGAGGCTGGGCCCTGACCAGGCCTGGCCCCAGCCAGCCTTCACTTCAGCTGCTGCGAGAGATGTTTTTAATTAGGTTCTGTCTCTACGGGCTTGCTTCCTTTTCCTCTTTTGAATCTAAAAAAAAAAAAAAAATCATGTGCAGGTTTAGTTCATGAAAAAGGGGCTCAGATCTTTTGAACGAGCAGGTGATGACACTTTAGAGAGACAAAGAAAGGGACCTGGGTGCATTACTGGTAATGAAATCCAGTAGACTCTTATTAAGCACCAACTATGAGCTCTTCTAATGAGAACATTCTAACCCAAGGAAGGCGGCCAAGCTGGCTAGAGAGACCAAATAGGTAAATAGAGACAGAATACAGCCCCAAAGCCCTATGTGGGTGCAATTCTGTTTGGTTCTCCATGGGTTCCCAAATGCATCGCACAGTCTCTGGCAGGCGCCCGCTTCAGGACTGGGATACAGGTGCTGCTGATGCCATCCCTCACTGGGAACCACCCTCTGCTGCAGGTACTGTGTGGCCCAAGGTTTTGGACCCTCCCAGAGAAGACAGGAGAGGAGTCTCTAGCCAATCCCTGGCTAGGGCGATAGTTTAAAGGGCCATCCCTTGCATCTTTCAGGATAGTTCTGAAAGGTGGTCCCAGCCCCAGAGCTCCCTGTGGCCTCAGCAACTGCCTCTGTGTGTCAGCTTCTCCCTCCATGCCAGTTTCTGTGTGTGTTAGCTTCTCCCTCTGTCAGCTTCTCCCTCTATGTCAGTTTCTGTGTGTGTTAGCTTCCCCCTCTGTGTCAGCTTCTCCCCAGGTCATCTTCTCTCTGTGTGTGTCAGCTTCCCTTGTGTGTCAGCTTCTCCCTCTGTGTCAGCTTCTCCCTTGTGTGTCAGTTTATCCCTCTGTGTCAACTTCTCCATTGCGTGTCAGCTTCTCCTTCTGTGCCAGCTTTTCCATTGTGTGACTTCTCCTCCTATGTCAGCTTTTCCCTCTATACCAGTTTCTTCATTGTATCAGCTTCTCCCTCTGTCAACTTCTCCCTTCCATGTCAGCTTCTCCCTCTCCCCAGTCTTCCCTTGCTCGCTTCCCAACAGCTGTGTCTCCTGGAGTCTCCCAGCAACATACTTCTTTGTGTCAGAGTCTGTTTCTAGGGAGCTCAGTCTGCATGCATGTGGAGTAATGAGCACTGCTCCAGTTGTATAAATAAATGTCTCTGAGCTCAGAGGAAGGAGCAGTGAACTCTCTTGGGAAGGTCACAGAAAGATTCCCAGGGGAGGTGGTATTTGAAGGCCTTGAATTCCCTTAAGTTCATGCTCTGCTCCTGTTTACCCCTCACTGCAACCCTACCGGGCAGGCTCTATCACATTCCCATTTGACAGAGGAGACCAAGTCTCAGAGAGAGGGAAGTAACCTGAAAAAATCTACACAGCTACGAAGTGGGCCAGGACTTAAACTCTGGTTCCTCGCTCCAAATCCAGTGCTCTTCCCCCTTGCCAGTCTCCCTGCCTAGACTTCTTGTTGATGTGGCATTTTGAAGGTTTGAGGGCATTTTCATGCACTGACCTTCACAGCTATGACTCAGGCATGGTTCTCTTCATTTGACAAGTCATCGGGGGCTGCTTAGGATTGTGCTGAAGCTAAACCAGGAGCACAGGACCAGAGGGACAGAGGCTGGAGGAGGGGCAAGAATGTAGAAAGTGTGGCATTACCTCCCATGCCAGCCCCTAGGGCAGCAGCCAGCAAGTTGTGCGGTCCCCAGGTGTGTCTGGGTCACTTGCTGGACCCATCAATTCAGCTTTCATCAACAGTGATGAAACACTGGTTGGCTTTTCTTCCCATAGAGAAAATAAGATGGATGGAGCCTGCAAGCTCATTAAGGACAGAGGTCATGTCTGTTTTGTTCACCTCTTTAACCCTAGTGCCTTCCTAGCACAGTGCCTGACGCAAACTGGCACTAAGGATGATGATGGCTAATGTATATATCACATTTATGTCATTTATGCCTTGCAGGGGTTCTGAGCACTTTGCATATATTTACTCACTAAATCTTATATCCCCCAGCTGGATAAATGCCATTATTACCCTCATTTGGCAAATAAGGGAACTATGCATGGAAAGATGGGCAGTAAATAAATATTTGAGGCATGAATGAATGAATACATAAAGAGTCTTATCATACTTCAAGTTACGGAAATAAAAAGAATCCCTGCAGCCCCTGGAGTACCAACAGGAGGCTAAGCACAGGAAGTGAATTAGGATTCTCTTTGAATCTTTTTGAATCCTCCCGATGAGGCATAGACAATTAATTCCAGTTTACCAATAAGGGTAATTGAAGCTGGCAGAGGTCAGGTCATTTACCCTGCAAACTGACAGGTCTTGGACTTAACCCCAGGTGTGTCTGACTCCAAAGCTGACCCTCCTAACCCTTGAAAGCTCTCTTGCTTCTGTGCCTATCCAAAACACCAAGAAGACAAAACCCAAAACAACCCAAGCAGCAAAGCAGGTATCACCACACTCTTAGACTCTTATTTTAGATACAATTCTAACAAGCTGCTCAGCTTCATTTCTCAGGTCCAGCAGCTGCAGAGGAATGGTGTGAGAGCGGCTTCTCTTAATAGGAAGGTAAGAGAGGGGTGATTAAAGCGATAAACAACGAAGCCTAGGAGCCTGGGCCACTGTGTGTTGGGGCAGCTGCATCCATCCGCATCAAAATAGTGCACCTGGAGCACAATTACTGACCATGAGTTGCCAAGGAAAGGTAGCATTGTGCAAGAAACTGAAAGGGTGGAGGGCAATTAACTCAGGAGTCTACGTCAAAGAAGAGGGCTGGAGCTGTTCTGCCCCTTCCTGACAGATTTAAACCATCTGAGCCTCAGCTTCTTCCACCAGAGAGGTGGAGACAGTGATTCTGGCCCCCCACAGAATGCCGGCAAGATTCAACAAGCTCTTGAAGGTGAAAACACTTGGTCAACAGTAGCCAAGGTGAGTTCCGTGTTTGATGTGTTCTGCTTAACAAGACCGGAAAGGAGGCTATACATTTTTTGGATATTTTCCAGCAATACAGGGAAAGTAATAAAAAGCTGTGGCACAGTCATGCACCATGTAATGAGATTTTCGTCCACACATATGATGGTGGTCCCATAAGATTATATTGTAACTGCCCTATATAGGCATACCATTTTTTATCTTTTATACCATATTTTAAATTGTATCTTTTCCGTGTTTAGATCTGTTTGGATACACAAATACTATTGCGTTACAATTGCCATTGTGTTACAGTATTCAGAACAGTAATAACATGCTGTACAGGTTTGTGGCCTAGGAGCCATAGGCGACACCATATAATCTAGGTGTGTAGCAGGCTAGACCCATCTAGGTTTGGGTAAGCACACTCCACAATGTTTGTACAATGACGGAATCACCTAGCAATGAAGTTCCCAGCATGTATCCCCATTGTTAAGTTTCATCATCCAGAAAGTTCCCTCTTGCAGGTCCCCTCAGGTAGCTGGTCACAGGAGCCACGACTAACTGTCAGCCTCTTGGACTTGTTACTAGAATATCCACCTAGTTCACCTTCTACTTAAAGGTTACCCATGATCTCAATCCACATGTCTAATGAGATCAAGGACAGGCAGAGCAGGACACTGGGTATAGACTCTGAAATCTACAAGTCACTCATTCAAAATGGGCCAAACACTCTGTGGGGACAAGCTGCTAAGAAACTGGGGCTCCTGCCTTCAGCCAGCCCCTGGGGAGGTCATTTGGACTCCAAGCCAAATATGGTTGGGAAGGATACCAATTAGCAGCTTGCTGGATCGCTCAGTGGAAAGGCTAGCCTTGGAATCAGCACATCATTAACTTACTCTCACTTGCTGAGCACCTATCACAAAGCAAGCATTGTGTGGGCAAAGCAGGGGATTCTGAGACAGGCAAGTTCCTGCCTTCAAGGAGCTCACAACCTACTGGAGGAGGTGTACACTCAGCCTCACAACGATCCTGTGCTTATCACCTCCCTTCTAGAGGTGTGGAAACTGACATCTAGCCAAGGTAAATCATTTACCCAAGATCCTCAGCTGGCAAGTGGTGGAGCCAGGATTCAAACTCAAGCTTTGGCTTTAGAGGCCATGCCTGCTGTCCCTACGACCAAAGCAATGGACAATGCAGATAAGTGCCGTGGGGGAACATGCAGGTGAGGAACTTGGGGGTGGGACTCGGGGGTGGGACTCGGGGGTGGGACTTGAGTCCAGGGTGGGCTTTGGAAACAGCTGGATGTGGGTTGTAAAGTTGCTCTGCTGCTCATTCACTGGGGGGAACCCTGAGGCTCCACTGTTTTCTGAAGCAAAGGACAGCTATGATGCCTCCATGGAGAGGCGTCGTGCAGACGAAAGGAGCCGACCTAGGGAGGGTGCACAGTGCCATCTTGGGCATGTTCCCCTGGACCAAAGGGGACCTGAGAGAACATAGAAGGTTTTGTGGGGAGGCTGTGGTCAGGAAAGGCCTTCACAGAAGAGGTGGCTTTTAAGATGGGCCTTGAAGGATCAGTCGGTTTGGCTTACCTTCAAGGAAGGGAGCAAGGTGGGGCAGGCATGAGCAAAGACACTGCAGATGAAAAAGCTGGGGCCCATGTGGGGAGCAGGCTAGCTGCAGCCCAGGGAGAGAGCTGCAGAGCAGAGCGAGACATGGCTGCAAAGGAAGGTGAGCCCACATTTCAGCTGGCAGGGCAATGACCTCTGCCCATGTTTACTGAGATCCACTCTGCCGATGTGCCTGACACCAGCCATTATCGGGTCCATCCTTTGAAGACATCCTCTATATAGAAGATAGGGGACAAAGGCAGCAGAGTCACAGCAATGGACTGGCAGCTTCCTTTCCTCCTCTCCTGCCTCCCCCGGGGTTGTGCATTACGCAACACTGGAGCGCAAAAGGCCTGTACTGCTGACATTAACTACATGTACTGCTGACATTAAACAGACCGCCACTTCACTGTGCACTGGCAAAGACGCGCGCATGCACGCGCACACACTCACACACACACAGACACACATGCGCGCGGGGTGAGAAGCCAATTTGATTCTCCAAAGGATTGCATAATTCTTAGGTGATTCTAAAATAGCTGATGAAGAATCCACTTTAATCTTTTTTGGGGTGGGCGCTGCAGGGCTGAAGAGCATTGCTAAGATAACTTTTGACAGAATCATTAACAAGAAATAAGCTGCCAGCACTTAGTTGCAAAACCAGCAGCTCCTGAAACCACCATGTTTTACACATTCCGAGGGCCAAAGAAGCCTCCTGGATGATCAGAGTGAGTGCGGGGGCAAGCCAAACGAGTGGCCTACCCAGCCCAGGCCCTCCCCACCAACTCCCACGGCTCACAGTCTTCCCCTCTGAGAGGAGCAGAACCACCACCACTGAAATGATCTTTCATGGCCCCAAAGAACTGCCCTGTCTGTGCCAGTCACTTGGCACTTAATCGTGTCCAGCCTGTGCCTGCTATTCCACCCTGGGCTCAAATTGTATTGAAAATAAACTGATTTGTAACTCTCGACCAGTGCGCAATGCATCCTCCCAACCGGACTGTGAACCTCTTGTAAGACAGAACTGTGCTCCCGTCACAATCCTGTGTCCACATGTCTGGGACAGACCAGATCACAAATATTTTGCCACATGCTAGGGAATGAATCTATGGTTTTTTTGTTTGTTTTTGGAGAGATGGGGTCTCGCCATGTTGCCCGTGGCTGGTCTCAAACTCCTGGCTTCAAGTGATCCTCCCACCTTGGTATGTCAAAGTGCTGGGATTCCAGGTGTGAGTCACCTCATTTGGTCTGAATCTATGGTCCTTGTATATCTACTAACATTATTTTCTAATGACACTGTCAATAAATTATTCATCTGTGTATCTCATGAGTCTCGAGCTTGGAAGACGGTAGTCCAGTTAACACTTCTTTTGAAGAAATCTTAATTCCACCTTGGAAGAAAGGCTTCATCCAGGAGGTTGGGACCTCAAGGGTGAATGGGAATTAGGCAGATGAGGGAGGGTCGGGAGGAATCATCAGGGGTCAGAGGGGGTGTGAGGGTGTGTATATGTGTGACTGTGTGGCCAGCAATGGTCTGAGCACCCATGGAGGAGCAATTAACCTTGGAGAGAATCAGAAGACATTAGAACTGGAGGGAGTGAGGAAAGCAAGGAAGCGTTGGCAGACAGGTTTGCAGGTCTGATGGCAGAAGGCTGAGGATGTTTCCATATGATGGCTTCCATTTTCTCTTTGAAGATGGTGGTAAAGGTATCTTCTAAGAAGGAGGAGGGAGGGAGGTGGGAGGGGGAAAGATGGGAGGTTTGGGGAGCAAAACAAAAGTTTTGAAATAGCCATTGAGAAGAAAGGAGAGGCCAGGTGAGGTGGCTCATGTCTATAATCCCAGCACTTTGGGAGGCTGAGGCTGGAGGATCACTTGAACCCAAGACTTCAAGACCAGCCTCAGCAACATGGCAGAACCCCATTCTGCCAAAAATAATAAAAATTAGCCAGACATGGCAGTGCATGCTTGTAGTCTCAGCTACACGGGAGCCTGTGATTGCACCACTGCACTCCAGCCTGGATGAAGGGGCGAGACCCTGTCTCACCTTCCAAAAACAAAAAAGAAGAAAAGAGAACCCAGGGGTGGGGATGGAAGTGCAGGACTGAGGGTCTAATTGAGGTTGGAGACTCCGTGTTTCTGTTACACCAAGGTTTGTGGCTGGACAAGATTTCTTCAGTGCCCGTGTGTAGGTGGACTGGTTTGACTTGGGGTTTCATCGGACGGAAGGAGGCTTTGAGAATGTGGAGGTAAGGGCCAGGATGGGGAAGAAGCAGGTTGATGGCGAGGTGGAAAGCAGAGACAGCAACGGGCAGGAAGCCCAAAGATGGTGGAAAACTTACCAGAAGTGACTCAAGCAGCTGGAAGTGGAAGAGATTGTGGCTGGGGCCATCAGAGGAGATGCCGATGCTGTTGATAAGGTTCCCAATGTGGCCCCGAGGCGGGAGGCTGATGTGAACACGAGGAGGGCAAGGAACTGGTGCTGAAAGCGCTGTACTGAGGAGGGGGCCCTGCTCCCCGCAACTCGAACAGATGCCCTGGAAGCATCCACTCAGAGTCCAGAGCTCCGGGAATGCATCAGTCCCACAGCCTCATTTTAAGACCAGGGACACTGAAAGGGTCCGGGCCTGACCCAAGGTGACGAACGGGGTTTGAGACTAATGGGGCTGCTCCCCGTTCCACCATGCCCGGGCCGGGGCTCTCCTTTCCCCGGACACTCTCCCCCAGCGAGAAGCAGAGGCAGGCGACGCTAGGAAGAGCAGGAGAGAAGGAGGCCGCGGGTCCCTGTCGCCTCCCGGCGGGGCATGGCAGCTCGCTATCCACTGACCTGGGGCTCAGGGCCTCCGCCCTCCCGGCCTAGCGGCCCCACCTGACCCCACCCCGACCCCACCCCGACCCAGGCCACTTCCGGTCCGTAGGTCACGCCGGAAGCACGTGGCCCCCCACCCCGCGGCGTTGCCCGGGAGACCAGGGCTGTTTACCAGAGGGACAGAGCCGGGCACAGGCGGCGGATGGAGCGGAACGGCGAGGTGAGAGCGGCTGCCCGACCCCTCTCGGCCCCTGGCAGGCCTGGAAGGGACGGGGCAGGCCAGTCCCCCGAGCTCCCAGCAGGTCACCCCCTGCAGATCACTGGGGCAGGCCACCCCAGACGCGCCCCCAGGGACGAGAACCTCTGGAGACAAGCGAGGGGCCTGGATAAAAGCCTGCTCCCCGAGGCAAAGCAAGCCTGTCCAGAGCTGACCTTCACCAAAACAGGATGACACCCGGGCTCTGCAGAAGCTGAGTAGCCTATGCAACCGCTGGGCCATGCCCTCCAGGCTGGGGACACAGACCCTGGGAGAGAAAAGGATGTCCCAGTCTCGGGCAGGGCAGAGACCCGAACCAGATAGACCCTCCCCCAGACCTGTGCTCTTTCACTTAAGTCAATTCTCACTTTCTAAACGCTCTTTCTCGCCCCTCCCCCAGATCCCTCCCCTGCCCCTTAAGCCTGTTGCCTTCTAGGGTGCTGGCACTTGGACATAAATGAGTTACCCCCACCACCTCCCTGCCTTTCTGTTGCTGGAATCATCCCCAGTTCTCTTTCCAAACATTTGATCACTTGGTGGCTTGTGGTTCAATGTGGCACTCTGTATAGGACAGTGTATTCTAATCATTAGTTTGGGGCAGAACTGGCAATGGTACCAGAGTTTTTTCATTCTCAAGCCAACTACCATCTCCTGTTGGTTCTTCAGAGCATTTTTATCCTGAAAGCCTGGTGGGGGTGGGTTGGGGGGGGAATGGCAACGGATAGGATTAACTGATACAGTTTTAAAAGACCAATTCAAATGTATGCATCTTGGTATATACCAGCAGATGGTATGTAGGTGGTTATATTTTACTGCATATACTGTAGGCTTAGATTTGGGTTGTGAGTGAAATGGGGTGGTCTGACCCTGTGGTGGCTGGTGGGTACCCTTAGAAAGCAGGAGCCCTGCATTAGCTTCTCCCATCCACATTTACTTCTTTCTAGTTGATATGGTGATGAATCTGAAGGAATGGGCACCTGCCCTTCTGACAACTTCCTGGAAACAGTTAGCAGTGTTTGCTTCCTGACTCCTAGCAGGCCTCTGGGGTGCAGCTATTGTGTTTAAGTAAACAGGCCACTCGCCTATTCAGCTTGGCAGCTTGGTAGATGCCTACGCCTAGATCTTGTCAAATCACTTTGTGGTTGAGCGGCTGCCAGGCCTAGAGGTGGTGAAATGAACTGAGCAGGAATAATGACGGCTGCTGCTGGAGCCTTCCTGGACTGAGGGTGGCGGGCAGAGTTCGGACCCGAGGTGTGAATATCAAGGCACAGTTGGGCCAGATCCCCAAACACCTGTTTCCCCCACCACCCCATCCTTATGTGATGGATGCTAGGGAGAGCTGGTGTTCTCTCCGTGTAACAGATGGTCCCTGCGCTCGGGAGGAGGCAGTGGGTTATGAAAGCAGGTTGGATATAATGGTTTTACCTGAAGGAGGTGTTAGTCTCTAAATAACCATGAGTGGGTTCCTAGGAATTAGTCATAATTGAGGTTTTTCTCTGAGATAGCTCACAGTCATGTTATCTTATGACCAGGGTGTCTTGAATATGACACCCCCTGAACATGGATAATTATATAGTACCAAAAGGTATAGAAAGTGCATGCACATACTCAAGTTTTACTGTTAAAAATAATCCCTGCAGAGAGCCTGTGAGAACACATGACTCTCCTCATCAAAGTTGTTAAGGAAGAGGTTTCTAAGTTACCAAACTCACTGACAGTTAAACCTTCCTGAGGCATGTGTGGGTGTTGGAAGCCAAGCCTGTGATAATTCTGTAGAAGCTGTGGCAAATTAATAGCCATTCCACAAGTGAGGAGGGTGGGCCGAGAGGGGCGTGGGTTTGCCTGTGGGGCTTATCTTTGGCAGAACAGTTGGACAGCTATGACCTTCTCTTGCCATCCTGAGTGAAAGTGCAGAGCTGCTAATTGCCAGAGAAAGACTTGAGAATGAGACTAAAGGGGGCAAAACACATTCTTCACAGTTGATCAGAAAATAGACGAAATTAACAAGGAGATGGGCAGTCTTTTTTGATGCCAAAACTTTGCTAAGGAGAAGCCTCCTGAGCTACTAGCAGCCAGACTGGGTGTGAAAGACGAGGGAGACATGGAAAATGGGAGTGGAGAGAGACTCAGGCTGTGAGTAGAATGCAGCAGACATAGAGGGCTTTAAAAATTTTTAAAAAAGGTAGCATTGTCCAAGATTTGGAATTGAGCAGGGCATCGGGAATATACAGGGATCCTGTGTTTTGTTTGGTCCTGAGTGGGGATGAAGCAGATACTCCCTAAAATTAGGCAGCAATGGTTGTATGCACAGAATGGTAAGGTTAGAATACAAAGCCCAAGAGGCTGAGGTTACGTTGTTCAAGATTTTGTGATGAAAGAAGCGCATGTGCAGGAAATGCAAATCATTCTGCAGGAAGCGCAAATCATTCTGCAGGAAGTGCAAATCATTCTGCAGGAAGTGCAAATCGTTCTGCAGGAAGTGAATTTGAGGCAAGTCAAAGTGTAGAATTAGAAGAGAAGTGAGCAACTCAGGATTTTTTTTTTCACATATTTTTGAGGCAACTGCATAGGTGGTAGCTCATAGCAGTCCACCTCCCTGCATTTCTGCACAGTGGACAGGGCGGGCATGAGTTTCAGGACTCATCCAGCTGGTTCCGTGGGAGTAGAATCACTGAGGACACAGGGGGAAAGTTCTAAAGCAAAACAAGTAAGGCTTTTGAACTTAGCCTAACAGAGAGCACTGAACAGACAACCCAAAGCAAAAACAAAAACAAACAAACAAAACCCTTAACATTTAATGAAGTCTCTACCATGCTCTAAGCCTGGTGCTTCCTGCCTTACCTACATTATTTCATGTTATTATCCTCGTCCTACAGACAAAAAGACTGATGTTTCAAGGTATTTAAGTAATATCTCGAAGATCATTTAGCTAATTTGATAGATGAGGAAAGTTCTGTGCCGGAAAGATAGAGTGAGTGCCCCTTGGTCACGTAGCTAGCCAGTGGCAGAGAAGCTGAAATTGAATTCAGGTCATGTGACACCCAGTTCTCTGTCCTTTGCACCCAAATATGCTGTTTTTTGGGACCATGTATCACTGGGAAGTCGTCAGAAGGTCTTTAGAAGGCTAGGAGAGGCCAGGTCAGCTTGTGAGTGGAGAAGGCAGGAGTCACAGTGGTGGTCAGGATTGAGAGGGAGGCAGGGGGTCCAACAAGATGTTTGCAATGTTTAGGGAAAGACATAACTGGAGATTGGGAGGAGGAGGTGGTGGTAATAGTGTTAATGAAGTGGCCACCAAGATGGCAATGAAAGAGGAGGTGTCATGGTATAGCAATTCCGGGTCCGCACAGAGAGATGTTCACGCCTCCCACCATGTTTCATTTCATTGCTTCTGGCGGATTTAACCAGCACTCACATAGACTTTTGGTGGGAGATCCAAATACAGAGGCCCCAGGGTGCCTATAAGGCAGCCGGGAAGACAGAAATGTGAACAGCTCGGGAGGCTGAGGCACAAGAATAGCTTGAACCCAGAAGGTGGAGACGGCAATGAACTGAGACTGTGCCACTGCATTGCAGCCCGAGTGATGGAGTGAGACTCTGTCTCAAAAATAAAAATAAAAAAAAGGAGAAAAAAGAAAAAAAAAGTGAAGAGCTAGCAGACATACAGAATGTAATGTGCTGGGAGGGCACCAAGGCTGCTCCTCAGGAAGCAGCTTGTATGGGTACAGAGGACACAAGACCGCATGTCACAAGACCTGAGTCCTGTCTCCAGCTCTGCCACCAGCTGGCTGTGTGACCATCAGGAAATCACTCTATCTTTCTGGCTCATACATCTGTAGAATTAGCATGTGCCCAGAGTTGCTATAAGACGGGGGTCAACAAATGGCGGCCCACAGGCCAAATCCAGCCTTGTCACCTATTTTGTGTGGCTCATGAACTTAGAATAGCTTTCACATTTTTAAATCATTGAAAAAGAATCGAAAGAGAATATTTTGTGACACATGAAAATTATCTGAAATTCAAATTTCAGAGTCCAAAAATGAAGTTTTATTGAAACACAGCAGGTTTTCTGGTTTTTACCAGAAACTCCCTCCCTCCTGAAAGAATAAGCATTAGTCCCCCACTTAGTCACTCTCTGGTACAATACATTTTATTTTCTTCATAGCAGTTGTTACTCTTTGAAACTATCTGTTTACTTGTGGGTTTTAACCCCTGTCTCTCCTCACTATAATAATTTACATTGCAAGGACTTGGGTTCGCTGATCTCTCCCAAGTGCCTAAAATAAATGAATGCATGCCGGAATGAATACATTGCAGCTGGCGCCCCTTTCTAGATGCCAGAAATTTGTGCTTATTCTGGGCACTCAGGGAGGGAATGGCTTGGATCTAGGAGTCCCAGGAAGTTTAACCCACGTCCTCCTGTTTTTCTCCTGCGCCCTTAGGGGTCGTGAGAAGCAATGGCCACAGAAGCCCCTGTGAATATAGCGCCACCGGAATGTAGCACTGTTGTCAGCACAGCAGCTGACAACCTCATTTGGCAGCCAAACTCACTAAAGAGGCACATGATAAGACCCAAGTCTGCCAAGGGACGGACAAGACCGAGTCTGCAAAAACCCCAGGGCACGGAGGTGTGTTCTCGTCGCGTACCATCTTCTCCGCCTCCAGCCATTCCCTATGAGTCTCCAAGCAGCCAGAAACCAGGAGCCTGTGCACCCAAATCTCCAAGCCAGGGAGTCTCTGATGAGATCCCTGAGCTGCTGCAGCAAGTGCCCATTGGGGCTTCCTCTTCTCTCAATAAGTATCCAGTCCTTCCCTCCATCAACAGAAAGAACCTGGAGGAGGACGCTGTGGAAACAGTC